TACACGGCGCTAGCACTACGGAACCCGAGCAGCTTCAGGGGTCTGACGATCAAACGACCAAGGAAGGGCCATTTTCCAGGAAATCTTAAACATCTTAAAGCAATAGTAACATCGGGTAAAACACTATCATTTACTCGTTTGGTGGGTTACTCTCTCTCTTAGCCCAGATCCCGGGTAAAGTCTGGCTTTACAGATTGACCCAAAACAGGGCACATCTTCCTTTGACCGAGTAAACGCCGAGTGACGCGTGACCGAGTCAAAAGAAATTATCTTTGAAATTGTTCTTGTTCGTTGACATCCCCTTCTGGGACGTCACACACTTATTAGAAATACACCAGTTTAAGGAATATTTAAAAGTGTGCGTCAATCTATGATTCAAAATTGCATTTAATGGAAGAAAAACAGATTAAATATCTATAATATGATTCTTAAATATTATGTTTTCCTATTTTCATAATAAGCTTATCTTGAAAATCTTAAATTAATGCTTTGATAAGTAAATTGTTTACGTTCAATATGTTGCTAAAAGACTTGCTTACAATACTGAACTCTAACAAATACTGAGTTTATTTACAAAAAATTATAATAATTAAACATTTTTTACTTGTTTGGAGAGTATTATATACTTTTAAAATATGACCCTGTTTAWAAGCTTTAATCAATTAGTACGATTCCATTATTAATTAAAAACTGTACAATTCTGACCGTCATTTACTTTCACACTTTTTATAAAAATATACTYCTATTAATATCTTTTTAATGAATTAACACGTATATAGTATAATTGTTTTATATTAATAAAGAAAGGAATCATATATTATATGATAATTAATCAGTAAAAATTTTAATTTGTTAATCGTTAAGATATTTTTAATTATCAAAAAAAAAAAGACTAGATCTTTTTGAAAACAAACACAATATGTTGCTTGATTAAAATTACACATGAATAAAATTGAAATGTAAAAGAAGCATAATTATTGATATATTGATTAACATAGATATAAAATTCATTACCCATTTCTACATTCATCACCAAAGACATGAAGTAGTACGTCGAAGAGGAAAGAAAACATACGATCAAGGTTATTTTTACAAATTTCTGACTAAATTTGTTRTAAGTTAAAAAAGCAATTTGCTCATCTCTGCTCTTGTAATTATCAATGATGAAATCTGTTCTGATGTCTTGTAAAAGTTTCGTTAATGATTTTTTCTTAATCCTACAAATACACATCTTCAAAAGAGCCATCAGGTTGAATGCATTTTCCAATAAAGCYGCAACGATATRTGATAGATTTGATATATTCATCGCAATATCAATGTTCGCTAATAAACAATGAATAGTCAGATACGYTGAGAAGAATATAAACTTTGAATCGTGAACTTCCTCCGGCCAAATTCCAGCACATCTCATTGTACGTTTCGTCATATCTATCACTCTCACAGTTTCACTGAAGTCAAGATCCTAAAAAATGAAATCCCTCACGGATTTTAAAAATCTTTTATTCGAAATTATATCAGTTTTTGWTATGTAAAATAATAAATAACATATTTGATCGATTTATTTTTAAATACTATAAATTACTTTTTTACTTGATTATTATTATTACTTTTATTAATATTGTAAAAATGATTCTAAATCACTGGATTATACTGAAACAACTTTCGAACTTTTCGTACTTGCATGGTTTCGTCAACAACAGCTTGAGCTTTCCTCGAAAGCTCGTAACAAACTAAAGAAAAAGATCGTTTCCAACTCTTCAGGTAAACTCGGTTTTTTTTTTAACGTAGAAAAAAGAAAAGGAAAAGGAATATAAAAACTTTTTCTGTTCTTTCTTTGATCGAATAACTTTCTTTCTAAATAGCTGCTAATATGAATGTCCGAAATGAAAGAACTTATATAAAATTGTATTATTTTTATTTATGAACAAAAAATTATGCTTGTTTCTAATGAGAAACAAAATAAATAATTCGTAAAATTTCTTCAGAAAGTAGACAGTTGCCAACTTCTTCAACCTTCTCCTAAGATATTATCATATTATTATGAAAAAACTTTTCGATATCCCTATGAAAATTAAAGAAACTTCCAAACAATAATAATTAATGAGCATTCTATATCCTAAAGACCARAGGTTTTTTTACGTTTAATTAATCGATAAGAATCTGAAAAATTTATGATTTCTCAAACGAGAAACTCGCTATGCTATTTTTTTCTATTAGCTCTACACTATAATTATCATTTTTCTAGGTAAAAGCTATGCATTCATTATTTCAAATATTTCATTTTTTTTTTTTTTATTTCTCGTGGGCTTCGTATATCGATTATATAATTGCGAAAACATTCATTATTATTATTTTATGTTGTTAGGAACTCGAAAGTTCATTGCAGCAAATACTTAATCCCGCCAGTGTTCCGTCCATGAGCGCGAACTCTCCATTCGTGGTCTTCGTAGCCTATTTCTTTAAGATTTCTCCTAATATTATCCTTCCATCTACGTCTTGGACTATTGAGTGATCTTTTCCTGTTCGGTATACTGATCAGTATTTTATGTGCTGTTCGCTCCTCCTCCATGCGCACCACGTGAATTGCTCATCTAAATCAGCGTAATTTTAGGACGTTAATGATGTCCGTTTTGTTGTACAGTCGGTGTATTTTCGAAAACCCCAAATTTTTTTTCGTCTCGTAATGTAAGTGACGACCCGTTTCGCTACCAAGCGAAGGACTAAAGGTGAGATGATTGTCTGGTATATCATGATTTTTAAGCGACTAGACAGCAACCGCGAGCTGAATGATTAATTGACCGAATAAATACATGCACTGCCTGGTTTGATTCTTTTTTTAAGTTCTTCGTATATCTCGTTAGTCAAGCTTATGATTGATTCTTAATACTTGAAGTTACTAACCCGTTCAAAAATATTATCCCAGACGACCAAAGTTTCAATAGTACGCACATTCTGAATTCTATCGGTGACCATATAATTAGTTTTTTTCACGCCCAATTGTAGCCCCAGATTTTTTGTATTATCTATTATTATTTTCGCGGTAATAATTACCGAATCTTTATTGTTCCCTAACAAAGCAATATCGTCCACATATGTCAACACTTGCGTTGTCCTGYTCAACTGCAGATAACCTTTACTTTTCTGCAGTTATTTGACAGAAAATTTCAGTACTAAATTGAACAGAGGAGGTGATAGTGCGTCCCCTTGTTTAAACCCGTTATGCATACTAAAAGCTTCCGACATTGATTACTTATTCTCATTTTAGCCATAGTTTTCTTTAAAAAAAGTTGAACCAGGTWGACCAATTTTCTTAGTATCCCCTGTCGTTCTCAGATTTTAAACATTTTTTCTCATTTTACGGAATCGTACGCTTTTTGGAAATCTACATAAAGTTGGTGTACCAGCTGATTAAATTCCCATCTTTTTTCAAGATCTGCCGAATARTAAATATCTGACCTGTAGTCGATCTATATTTCCTAATACCGCATTGGTGATTTCGTATTATCTCGTCTTCATACGGTACTGTCCTCGCTAGTAGATTCGATAAGATCTTATAGCACGTTGGTAAAAGTGTGATACGCGTATTGTTTTTCCATTTTTGAAATGAAAACTTTTTTAGAGTGCAGGTGGTTTGAAAAAATATATCATATGTGCAGATCACACGTATCAGAAGTGAAACCTTCATAAAACTACGTTTCGAAAGAATGAGATGAATACACAGTATTAACAGTAAGATAATTATAGAGTTTATTTATTAAAATATTGTTAGCATATCTATCAAAGGGCTCCTTTATG